ATTAAAAAAATAAATCAAAATCTATTCAATTTTTAATTTACAAAAGCCTTTTGTAAATTTAAATTAAAAAAATAAATCAAAATCTATTTATTTTTTTAATTTACAAAAGCCTTTTGTAAATTAAAAAAATAAATAAATTAAAAAAATATATACACGTCGATTTAATTTATTTAATTTATTTAATTTATTTAATTTTTTAAATAGCCAAATCCACAAACAAAAATAAATATTTTAACTTTTAAATATATTTAAGTTACAATTTGAAAACTTGAATAAATTAAATAAATCTTTTAAAAAAAATAAATAAAACATCAAAATCTATCAATTTTTAATTTACAAATGCTTTTTGCAATAAATATTTGAATTGAAAATTAAATCATTTGTGTTTGTTTCTGAGTACGAAATGATACCTAAAGGACCCTCGATCATATATATATATATATCTCTCTCTCTCTCTCTCTCTGCCTCTCTCCGTTTCTCTGTCTCTCCCCCTCGCTTTTGTCCTGGGCCCAAGGGGAACCATCCGCCATGGGAGGCCTAAAGAAACAGCTGCCACAGAAGCGGCCACTGGAAGACTCAGGCCATGTGGCCTGTCCCGTTCTGCACGTTCTTTCGGAGATGTCGGACGTCGGACGAGTCGGAGGTGTTTGATGGGAGATGTCTCAACCTATAGTTGCACCCTGGAAGAGACCCACATGGAACCTCAAACATGCACCTGGCTGGAAGAGGTTTCTTTCCTCTACAAACCAGGTGGTTTTCGGGTTACTTGATTTTCCACGTGGGGCGTAGGTTAAGACCGGGACTTTGTTTGGACCGGTCTTGGGGGGGCCATTCATGGCCATTCTGCCAAAGTGCTTATCGGTGGCTAAGCACGGAGCGGGAGAGGAGGGAGCGGAGGAACGGAGGAACGGAGGCTGAATGAGCCTCGCTGTCTTTGAAATCTGGCTGAAACCTACAGGGTTTGGCTCCTCTTTGGAAGTGTTATTTTTTCTGAGTTCCTCTAATTAGAGTCCTCTATAGAGATGCGCAACAATGCCCGGCCGTTCCAAAAAACGAGAGGACAGCGACAATCCATTTGGAGGGCTCAGCAAATTCGATCAGTTTTCTTCGTGCAAAACACCTCAAAACACCTGTATAGTATACATACTTCTACCATCTTCTATAAAGGTTTCAGCATGTTTCCGTGGTTCTCAACCCACGGCCACCCCACGGCCCCGGAACGCCGAGGCGTCCCACTGCCCTCGACCACGCGGATCTTCGTGAGCAGCATCCCTCCAGGCGGATCGTCGGGTGGAACGGAGGGCGCATGATGGATCAGCATGGCGGCCTCACCCCGTGGGGGGGTTCGGCCTCGGCGATGGAAAGATGCTGCCTCGGTACAGGGCCGTAGGTTGGGTGTCCCCCAATAGTTTCGGTATGTGCAACGACTTTGTAGCGATTGAGGCCGCCCAACTCGGGTTGCAGCGGGGTGTTGTGGGGCCCGGTGGAGTTTGGGGCTCGAAGGTGGAGGGGACTGAACATCACGCGAATCTGAGACCATCTAAGTATAAAGCTTCACTTAGTTGAAGTGTGATGTTGCTACCGAGCCAATGTGCGCGAATCCGTACAGCAAGAGTGGGTAGACTAGCCGGAGGTGGCGGCGTTCACAGAAGTTTTCATGAGTTTTCGGCATGTGTAGCGGCGCATGGCATGGCCATCATTTTTTCCATCGTTCATCCAGGTGATTGATGTTGATGTTGGCTCCTTTGATTCGGCTCCGCCGAGTTCGTGACTCCTTCGGGGGTCCTTCGAGGGTGGGCATGCCACCGGCTGCTCCGGTGCATGGCCTGGCCGTTTTGGGAGTCGTCCTCCGATCGGATCCACCAAATCCGTCCCACTGGCCAGATGACTGCACGCAGCCGGTGCTCGAGGAGTTCTTCAGTCACTTTGGCCAGGCGGGGGGTGGGGGGGACCCGAAGGCGGAGCATGTTGGGAAGTGCGCCACCCAGCAAACCACATGTTTTCGTCCGGATTCGCAAGTCTCCTGGTACCAAACTAGTCTGAATTGTCCGTACAGGCCGGTGGAGTGCTGTGTCCGAGCTTGCTGCAATTGCAGACCATGTAGACGGCACCGTGGGTAGGAAGACGACTCGGACCAGACTTCAGAACGGTCTGAGCCTTCAGAAGCAGAGGAACCAGGAATTTCCCAGGCTTTTCCATGAGTCCAAAGGTAGAACATGGTAACACATGGTAAAGCAATGTGAAGCATGTGTTCAACGGCCTGTTGAAGACGCTTCTTCAAATGCCCTGGCATCAACGCTGCTTCTCTGAAAAGAGGTGACTTCAGTGAGCATCCCCGTGGGCGCGCTAGGCGCGGTGACCTCGGGGTTGAGATGGTTGAGGATTCCTATCCAGTCAACAGCTTTGCAAAGCCAAAAGACTCCCATGTTCGCATTGTTCGTTGTATTTTTCCGGCTGTTACCTTCAATGACTTTGTTCTTTTTCTATAGGGCTTTCGTTGGGATCCTGGCCGTTTGCGAGAGAGAGAGAGAGAGAGAGTTCTGAAGGGCGATTTCTGCAGGTCATGCGACCATCAGCTTTGCCACTGCTGAGGAGGCACATGTTGAAGCCAAAAGGCATGAAAGACCATTGAATGCCAGGAACTCCATCAAAGTTTTGTTTTTTTAAGTGTTTGTGGTTGTGTCTGCAGGGCAGCCATCAGTTTGGCGTTTAGACTCTCCTGAAACTTTATACGATATGACTCATACCACTGGTTTAAAGGAGCTTCCCGCGCCTACCACGTTTGGGGAAGTCCAAGTCCTGATAGTCCTGATCGCAACGGACTCGCCGCTGCTCGCCGAATGGCTTTTTCCTCTTTGCACCCCCCACTACGGTCGGTGGCCGGTTGGTCTGCTGTCACCGATGGAGGGGTGGCAAAAGGGACGTCAGTTCACTTCCAGGCCCCCGGCGCTGGGTATAGACGTCCTAGAGGCACTCGATCTGGCCTACCCGGGGGCCTGCGGGGCCTGGATCTAAGATGACTCAGAGACCACTTTTCTGCTCAGAGTCCCATGACTAGGACCTACTACTTGTAGGATCCATTAAAAGAAGATGTCTCTGAAAGAAGGGGGAAGTCCTTAGAGCCTTAGGGGTCCTCTGAGGCCCTCCATCGAAGGAGGGGATCTTCTCCGCCGATCTCAAGTTCGAACCGCTGGTGTTCACTTGCCATCGAACCGCTGGGGGCACAGGTTCTTCGATTCCGGTTCTTCGCGCGGCCACCGGATAAGCGAACCGGTCACGTGAGCGCACGAACCTTCAGCGCCTCGATGCGCGGCCAGGCAGATCGCGTGTTTGAGGATCCGGAAACTCTGGTGATGAGTGGCCAGCTTCTGGTGCCTCAGCTCCTTGCGGCGGGACCGGACGCGGGACGAAGCACTGGACCTGGACTGGGATGGACGCGCATTCCGGTGTTCCTTTTGGGTTTCAGGGGGAGGTGTGTTGGTCGGGTCAGTCGGTGACGTTCCGTGGGACCGAAGCATCATGAAACATACATGTGAAACATAAACAAGTAGTATTTTGCCTCTTTGTTTCGTCTCTTTTGATCGGTGCCAAAGAGGAGCATTGTTCAGGCTTCGGACTTGGAATGTCAGAGGGTGTGCAGATTCGATCATGGTAGCATCTTTGGAGGTGAACATCTAAAGACCACCCCCCGACCTCCACAACCACTGGTGGAACATGGTAGCACTCTGAATTGAGCTGATACAATCTACTATGTCACTATGTATAGACACTAGACTACTATACTTTAGGAACCGTACTGGTTTGTGCCTGTAGTCCATCTCAACCAGGGTTCCTTGACGAAGAGAGCTGGAAGGCCCGGCATCCCACGCTCCGACCTTCACCGCCTCCGAACCGTTCGCGAGACGGGTCCGACGGTCGGCGTTCGGCCGCTGACCCGAACGCCGTGCTGGGCGCCGTTGAGAAGCACCGGCCGCGGGGGGCCTGGCAAAGACCCTTCTCCCGATCCTCCGCTAGGGCCCGAGAGTCTGCAAGGGTCGATTTACAGCCATGTTTAATCATCTTTATGGACCAGCAGTAGGGGTGCCCAATGGTGCCCATGATTCAGTAATGGGACTAAACACCACCCAATTCCACGTCTGAATTCCTTGGGATGTTGGGTCATGTTGGGGTCTGTCATCACCGATCCTGTTGGGTCCGATCGGATCTTTGGACCTAAGGAGTGCAAGCCCTGCGTGGGCCCGGGCACTCGGTTCCCGCACCCGCACCCGGCGCGAGGGTCCTCAGTCCGGGCCGAGGTCGTTGGAGGAAAACAGCGGAGTTGGCCCGATGGTGAAGTTGGTGAAGTGCAGAAATTGGTGCATCAAAAGAAGGGCCGTGTATTTTGGGGACGCACTCCTACTGGTGTAGAAAAAACCAGAACTCCGGTCTCAAGTTTGAAAGACAGTTTTAGGCAAACGGCAAACCTCTTTTTGAATCGAGCCAAGAGGTCTGGAGGGAAAACATCGAGTCGAAAAAGGCCGAGGTTGACGAACTTGGTGATCCGAACTGGTGACCATCGGTGGACGAGTTCATCGCCATCAACAGGAGCTTCTGAGCTTTTTGCTCCGAGCTTCATCGCCATTCCTATAGGTCTATAGGTATTTGGTTGGGGCTTTTTGCGGTTTGAGCAGCTGGTTGCCAGACTTTGCCAAGGAGATGTTTCCCGCATGGGGAGCCGAAGTCTCCGCCTCTCCCCCGAAGAGACTTCGATGTTCTGCTTTCCAGGGCCCGAGCCAGCTGAGCCCGGAGGCCGGAGCTGCCGTCGATCTCCGCCGTGGTCGGCTTCAGGTGGTAAGGGCCAGCCGCGCGGCCGGGGGAGCCAAGGACTGGACGCCTCCGGTGAGAACCGGTGAAGTGGGGCGGAGTTTGGGACACCCTGACAAGCTCGGAAAGTGACACCCCTTGGAACAGTTTTTGTTTTTGGGACACCAGGGTTTTTCGAACACCTGGGGAGCCGACCAGCTGGGAGCCTGGGCAGACGAAGGTGTCTGCAACATGCCAAAATTATGCAAGGACACGTCTGACAGCGTCCAATGGATTGGTTTCAAAACAGCTTGTCTTCATGTGCCCTTGGGTTGCCCAAAGATTTGGACCTCAGTGTGGCACTGTGTGTCGCCCTGGGTGTGTTTTAGAATAAGATCTTCCGGTCTCCAGGTTTAGTCTATTCTTCCTCTTCCAGAGGGGTCCTTTAGGGTCTCCCAGTCTCCCAAATCTCCCTAGTCCAAAGTTTAGTGCTTAAGCGACATTTTGCTTCTGCATGGTTCTAAGATAGACCAAGACGGAGTTTGTGGAGAGATCTTGGTACATAGCCATAGCCAAAAAGATCCCGTGGTCCATTTCTTTGTTGCGAAGGCGGTTTTGCAAAGAAACAAGGCGGTTTAGGCCCTCGTACAAGGCGGCCTAAAAGGCTCCTCGATTCATGTCGTTGGTTGTTCGGCTGGGCTGGCAAAGGCACAAGCAATGGCAACTGGACCAGTCAAGAAGAGCAATGGGGTTTCGAAGAAGGCGAGGGACCAAAGCAAAGGCTGAAACGAATCGACAACGCATCCTTTTTGTGCCAGGACCCTCCAAAGCTTCTAAGGCGCATGCCAATCCCCGAAAGAACACCAGTCGTCTATTGTTCTCATGTATCCTCAGCTCTTAAGAATTCCCAATTTCATCAAGTGTACAGTCCTTCCGAAGCTTCCAAATTCACGAACACTTTCACCGCTTCCGAAACGCTTCAAGCTTTCCACACTTGGAACGTAGCTGCAGTCGATTTCATGTGGTCATACATCCCCAGAGCCTTCACTCCCATTTCAGGCCAAGGCACAAGCGAAGGCAACTGGACCAGTCAAGAAGAA